TCCATGACACCTAAGGTAAGGTGACCAGACGTCCCGCTTTTGGCGGGACAGTCCCGATTTTTAACAATTTTTCCTGAGTCCCGTGGCATTTTAAAGAAGTCCCGATTTTTGGAAAGAATGCACGACAAGCTAGGGTACACGGTTTTCGGTTGCCAAGTGGTTATTTCGCCAAGATATGAGTTTTATCAATGGTGTCCCGCTTTGCCAATGTTAAAATCCGGTGACCTTAACATCAAGGTCAACATCAAGGACGAGATGGTATGAGGCTTGGAATCTTGTAAAAAACACACTCCAGTTCTAATCCTGTGGGTTTGCCAGTTTTTATAAAGGCTTTGGGTACGTGTGTGGTTTGAGGCCCTGCCATCAGAGTGTGGGCTTGTGGCCTGTCCTCTGGCTATTTGGTCAGCACCTTTGCTGGAAATTCCCACCCTGAGGCTTCATCTCAGCCCTTCTGAATCAATTTGTATTTCAGCCTGTTTCCCCCAGCTGATTCACATGCTCTTTAAATTTGGGAAAAACCAAAACTCACTGCCATCAAGTTAATTCCACTGCATAGAGACCCCGTAGGGCAGGGTAGAGCCGCCCCTAAGGTTTCTGAGACTGAAACTCTTTCTAGGGAGTGGAAAACCCCTCCTTCCTCCCCAAGAGTGGCTGACGGTTTCAAACCGCTGACCTTGCAGTTAGCAGCCCAATTTGTAACCAGTATACCACCAGGGATAACGAAAGATTGAGCATTAGGCCCTCGGCATCTAACCTGGGTGCCAGGAAGCAGGTACCTGGACCACGTAATACTCATCCTCAGTGCTGGCCAAGGTTGGCTTCTATCAGTGGTGAGATTCAGCCTGTTGGTGTACCAGTTGGGTAGATGATACCGACTTTTATGTTGAGCTTGGCGAACTGGTGGTTAAAGTGGTACCTGAAATCAGGATTCTCGGTGAGGAGGTGGCTGGGCAGCTGCCCATTGTGGAAATCACATATTTGCATCCCTCACGGGTTTTCACATTCATCTGCCCAACAGCCTATTTCAGGCGCCCTTGGTGAGGCTCGTTGGGTCCACAAGTATAAGCTGTTTGTTCATTTCCGAAAGCTCGTTGTACTTTTGAATACCACCTTTTCATCCCCTTGCATGTGTTACTTCAGTAAACAAACATGTACCGTAAGGAGAAGAGGTTCGTTTCAGCGTTGTCTCCTGCCCCTGACTCCCACGAGATTGTCTGAAAGAATTATGCAGTTCCTGAAAGTGTTCACAGAGCTAAGAATATTGTCAGGACGGTTGCCGGTGGTTCAGCGGAACCAGAAAGGGGCTCTTCAGAGATGAGCATCACATGTTCACGGGAGAGAAGCCGCCTGTTTCTAACCTGTCAAACACAAACGGGATCCCACTCCAACAGGGAAAAGATGGGTCAGGGTCAATCAGTGAAGACTATTGCAAGTGAGGACGCCAACCTAGATGCAATACGGAAATAGCTCCTTTTTTGTGTGAAATATCTTAAATAACAGTTTTATTGTGTTTTGTCATTTAAAAAAAAACATAACAATCTAGTTTTGTATACTTTTGTTGTTCTCGAGTACTAACTGAAATCATAAACTGCCTTTTGGTAGACCTTTTTTGTATACTTAAAACGGTTATTCCGGCAGCAAACCGCTTGTTAGATGGTTTGAATCCCATCCCTGGCTTATATAGGAATAACCCTACTCAGAGCTGACCCTGTACAACTGAGGGGATGGTCTCCAGGGCTATGATCTTTCTGGCAGCAAATTGCCATGCCCTCCCCCCTCCCCCCTCCCCCCACCCCTGCAGAGCTCTTTGGTGAGTCTGAACTGTCAACCTCTCAATTAGCCACCGTGTGCGTAGCCCATACACCACCAGGGCTCCTCAAGAAAGAATAACAGTGGCAGGTACCATCCAGAGACTGCTTCCACCCGTCATCCCCCTCGGTCACCCTCCTTCAAATGGAGGAGGAAGCTGGGCCCCGAGATAGATGGGGATTGGGTTCAAGGTCACGTGGCAGCCACCTCTTGGACACCGGGTTTTCAGCTGCTCCGCCCAGCGGGACAGGAGACCAGAGGGCAAATCCACTTCTATTAGTCTTTGGGCTGCCCTGCGAGCAGATGGGGGCATCTATTTGCCTTCTCCAACCGATGAGGGGCTGACTCTGGTGCCTGGAGCAGCCTTTTTGTTTTGAGAGTCACTTTGCACCCCTGACCAGAGCCCCTCCCTGAGTGACCTGACATTGCCGTTCTCAGCCCAGAGACCCACAGGAGCAGCTCTGCCCTGCCCTAGACGGTCAGTCGTGTCACTGAACGAGTCCGCACGGACTCCCAGGGGGTGAGTTTGGTTGGTTGGCTAGTCTTTGGAACCGAAAGCCCTGGTGCCCGGGTGGGCCAGCGGTTGGTTAAGTGCTGGAACCCCGTCCTAGGCGCCCCAAGAGAAAGGCCTGGCAGTCGTCCCCCACGAAAACTAAAGCCAAACGCCCTGTGGAGGAGTCACCTGGGCTTGACTGCCCTCTGCCACAGCAGGCATCCTTTTGAGCAGCTTCACCCTGATGGGGAGGCTTTGGGTGAGAGTTCTCCCTTGCCGGGCCCCCAGCGCGTCTCCGGTGTGGCCTTCTCTCCTCACATCACATGGTAGTTTCTGCCCTCAATTTTCAGAGCGGGTCCCTGGGTGCATGTTGCCGCCCCTCGAGCCCCTACAGGGCCCTGTCGGACAGGGGAAGTGCTCCATGGGCTCTGCAAGGCTGTGAATCTTCCCTCCCACGGTTGGATGGGCTGTGCTGGGCTAGGACCACGGATCTTGTTGGTGGTGGCCTGCCACTGAACCCACAACGACACGTGGCTCCTTTTTTGTGGGTCAGAAATGATCCCCCTTTCCACTAGCACCCGACGGATGCCCCGTTTTTGTACTGCAGGCCTATTCCTCTACCCTACGCTGCTCCCCTCCCCCAGTTAAGAGCAAGACCACAGCTGCTTGGTCCTGACTCACTGTGGCCGAAGGTATAGCCACGAGCCAGGGTTGGCTGCTCACCCGCTCGCTGAAGCAAGGCCCAGCGAGCATTTGCCAACCTCACGGTATGGAAACCCCTACAGAGCACATTCCTTTCCTGCCACACACAGGTCACCACGAACCCATGGCTGCCCCAGACACCCACACGGCTGCCCCAGAGGCCTTCCCTGACCCCCCTCCCCCCCTTGCCTCGCTCAACCTTAGAATATCCGCTCCGGGAGAGCTGGGAGATGGTGTGAGGTTGACGGGCGTGTGTGTGTGTGTGTATGTGTGTGTGTGTGTGTGTGTTCAATATTCTTCCTTTGTAATAAATTACTTGAAGACACAGGGATCTACAAGGGGGGTGTTGACATTCTTACATGCATGTGCACATACATACACAGACACGTTTCCTTTACGTAAGGCCTTTCTTGGATGAGGTGGTGGGGGGTGCTAAGTGGGAAAGTTTTGGAGGAGAAGCTGGAAACAAAACACCATTGTCACGAGGACGATTTCTTTTCAAATGTTTCACTCGAAGTTTACAAGCGTTATCGACTGCCACCAGGAAACAGACGCTTTTGCTTAAGAGCAGATTTCTGTCAACGGAGGGCAAGCCCTCAGGGGCGGAGCCAAGCCTGCTGCTTAGACGCTGAGGTCCCGAGGAAGGAAGGGGGTGCCCACTCGGGCATCAGAGCCTCTCGCCTGCTCCCTGTGGGTCAAGACATCCCCGAGGGAGGTCAGAGTGGGGTTTTCTTTGTTTAGAAAGTTCTCTGATGAAAATAAAAGGAGAGCAGCTTCCTGGGGCCTGAGGAGGGAAGGCCCCAGCGCTGCCCCCCAAGATTCCAAACGGTGGGCTCCCCGAGAGAGTGATGTGGGTTCACAGGACCCCGGAGATGGCCAGCGTTGGTCCCTGGTGGCGCGTTTGGGGCGGCTTCCTCGTTGCCTCTGTGCCTTGATGGTGGTGTGGTGGAAGCCGTCATTTCTGTGGTTTCCCATGTACTCCAGCCCAGCTATGAAAAACAGTTTAAGGCCGGGGGGACGGAGGGGGGTGGCGGGCGCTGGGGGGGATGGAAACAGCCCGGAACAATGGCTCTCATGACGGCATTGCTTCTTCCAGCGTGTCCACGGCTTCTCACCCACTTCCGTCCAGATTCTACACATGTGTATGCGGCAGGCCCGCCTGAATTAAGGGCTTCTGCATCCGTGGATTCAGCCCACTTCGGATCAGGAATACTGGGGTGCGGGGAGCAGTTCAGTGACGAGAGCAATCCCTCAGAGGCCACGAGGGAGCAAGAAGGTGCTGTCTACTTAGCTTGGCACCGTCCTGGGCATTGAGGGCAGAGTCATCGAGGCAGGTTAAAGCACTCGGAGGAGGAGCCTAAGCTGTATGCAAACACCAAGCCATTTCAGACCCGGGAGCCAATGTCTGCGGCTATGGGTTTGGCCGGTAGGTTGGTGGCGGGGAGGGCTTCCTGGAACCGATTCCCCATCAGATAACCAGGGGCAACGGCCATCTGAGGTTCCGAGTCAGCTCTGGTAGCCAGGTTGAGCAGTTGGAAAACCAGCAGCAGCTCCGAGGGAGACAAGACAAGGAGGCTTTCTCCAACTGCAAAGAGTCACTGTCTCAGAAGCCCACAGGGGCGGGCCCGGCCCTGCCCTGCCCTGCCCTGCCCTGGAGGGTCACTGCATGGGAATCCACTCGATGGCTGTGAGTTTGGTGTTGGTTTTAAATGGCTTCCCAGTTGGATTGAGACTCAAGATAGAAACAAGCCAATAAACATTGTAACACCTTTCTCCTCTTAAGGAAAAAATCTATACTTTATATATGTGTCAGTGCCAAGGCAAAATCTTTGTCCCCAAGGAGCTCCCAGCCTGCTTGCAGATGTAGGGTGGACAGAGGACTGAAGCCATTCTGACTTCCTGAGCCAGGGGCTCAGAGAGAGCCCTGGGGACAGCGGGCCCGCAGGGAAGCCCCCGTGGCCTTGGGTCAATTGGGTAGAGTGACATGAGGTGTGGGATGGCTGGTTCCTGGATTCAGGTGCTGGCGGACTGTGGCGGAGGATTGCACAGGTGTGGGGAGTTGGGGCAGGCCCGGGAAGGGAAGCAGGTGCGCCAGGTATGAAGCAGCAGGCACTGATAGGACCAGGCAAGTGATTCGGTGATGTTGGAAGGCGGGGGAGGAAGGAGGCAAGTCGGTCAGGGCCTGGGCTGCTGGGTTTGGGTTTTCTGAAAGAGACGGGAGTCTAGAGCTGGGGGGGATTCTAACAGCACTCCCCGTGTTGGTACAAATTTGCCCTTTGAGCCCTTCATTTCGGGGAGAGTAAAGTGGAAATCAGGATCACTTGCATTTATATTCCTTTTAGCATTTTGTCTTGGAGCTGAAACTTGGGGATCTCCACCCCCCATGGCTCTTTGCATGGCTCCTCAGTGTGTGGCGGGGGTGGGAATGAGGCTGTCCCTGGGGGGTGTGTGTGTGTGCAGAAGTGGTTTGGGTGAGGTTCTAGGGGAGACTCTGAGCGTGCCCCATCTTCACAGGTGGGTTAGTAGAGGAGGACACTTTGGGTCTTGGGGACCCAGGAGCTGACTGTCTGATGAGTGAAGCCCACGAGGGATGGCTAATGACCAGGGGCTGGTGGAGGGTGTGGGGAGGTTGGAGCCCCCACCCCCTGGGTTCACCTCCATGGAGTTGGTCGAAGGCCTGCACTTCTGGGTTTCCTTCCTTTTAGCCTTCATTTGTGCGCGTGGAAACACGCTTCCACTCAGCGGTCTCTACACACGTGGCTGGTGACCTGGCTTCCATCTTTCACATCATGTCAACACACTCGTTATTTCTGCTCCAGTTGTGTCACTGATTCACGCTCACCGCCACTCCCTGCACGTCACGGCTGTGCTCCAGTGATGCTCTCTCCTGGGTCTTACGTCATTTCTCTCTCTCTCTCTCTCTCTCTCTCTCACACACACACACACACACACACACACACACACACACACACACTTCCTAAAGATGGCATTCTTTGTGACCTGGGAGTTCTTCCAGCCTGGGGGGG